TTATCTGTAAGTTATGTCTATGTGACTTCCTCTTTGACAGGAGTTTTATCTGTAAGTTATGTCTATGTGACTTCCTCTTTGACAGGAGTTTTATCTGTAAGTTATGTCTATGTGACTTCCTCTTTGACAGGAGTTTTATCTGTAAGTTATGTCTATGTGACTTCCTCTTTGACAGGAGTTTTATCTGTAAGTTATGTCTATGTGACTTCCTCTTTGACAGGAGTTTTATCTGTAAGTTATGTCTATGTGACTTCTTCTTTGACAGGAGTTTTATCTGTAAGTTATGTCTATGTGACTTCCTCTTTGACAGGAGTTTTATCTGTAAGTTATGTCTATGTGACTTCTTCTTTGACAGGAGTTTTATCTGTAAGTTATGTCTATGTGACTTCCTCTTTAATAGAAGAGCGCTATTGCTGAGTGATGACTACGTGACTGTTGCTTTTATAAAAGAGATTTATGTCTGACACGTGTCTACGTGACTGTTGCTTTGACAAAAGAGTTCTATCTGTACAAAAGAGTTCTATCTGTGGCTTATGCCTAGGACAACTGTTAAGCCCAGGAAAGTCGCTACAACTGACTCATGCCAAAGGTAAGAAATTGTCCTTACAAAAGAGCTATTTCGCTGATCAGGAGGAAAGCCGCGTTGACGGATGAGCTGGCCCACATGTTTGCTGCCTCCTAGTCGTCGTTTGGACTTGCTCCTAAAGAAGTTGTTGCCTGGACGATGTCATGGGATGTAGATGTATCCGGCGGATTTTTTTAAAGACACAATTTAAATATTTTAAAAACCATAGTGATCAAGGCAAGAGAGCAAGAGGTAGACAATAGTAGAAGTGGGAGGACAACATCAAGAGATTGACAGCCAGCAGTGTGGCAGAGTGTGCGACCAAAAACAAGAGACAGAGCATATGGGAGGTTATTGCAGCCAGCTTCGCTGTTGAGATGGCAACTGACTGAGTTAGAAGAGAAAAACAAAGAGCTGTGACAATTGAAAAGATTCGAGGAAATAAAGATGGAGGAAGACAGCAGAGAATATTTTGACCTCTGTTTCTGATGCAGATTAAGACTATAAGTCTGAACTGTTATATACTTGTAATGATAGCAAGCCATGGAGAGACCTAGACCAAGAAGAGCAATGTCTGGACAACAGCTGGTATCTAGAGTTTTAAGTTAATGAAGATATCGAATATTGGGCACAGCTTGAGGAGAATCGAAGAGAGTTTCATCAAACTCACACCGAAAGGTGAAACAAATGGGCAAAAGAGATGAGACCTTCTACGAGAAACCCGAAGGTGAACTATGATGAGAGAGTTTCATCAAACTGACACTGAAAGATGAAACAAATTGGTGAAGGAAATGAGAACTTCCACAAGAAATCCTAAGGTGAACTGTGACAAAAGAGTTTCATTAAACTGACACTGAAAGATGAAACAAATGGGTGAAGGAGATGAGAATGTCCACATGGAACCCCAAGGTGAACTGTGACGAGAGAGAGAGAGAGAGAGAGAGAGAGAGAGAGAGAGAGAGAGAGGGGGGGGGGGGTGAGTGCTGGACTTGAGGGGGCGTTACTCTTGTACAGGGAGCAAACAAATTAACATGCACTAGAGGGGGCGTTACTTTTGGACAGGGAGCAAACAAATGTTAACGCACATTAGAGGCGGCGTTACTCTTGGACAGGGAGCAAACAAATTAACGCACATTAGAGGCGGCGTTACTCTTGGACTGTGAACAAAGAAATCAAGTATAGCTTCCATGAAACGGAGATTCGGTTTCTTTGTTGAATGTTGCAAAAATCTTGTACCTAAACAGGAAGCTTTTATCAGTGAATGCACGGATATTAAGAACAGTATAGACAGCTATAAAAAGGAGAGCACCAATGTTGTTTGGTCATGATATGAGAAGAAAAGCACCAGAAAAAGAAAAAAAAAAAACATTATGACCACAAGGAAGAAAAGTGAGGCACGAGACAGATGGGAAACGGAAAGAAAAAAAGGCCAGATGGTCTAAGATGGTATGAAGAGTCATAGAGGAATATCAGCAGCTAAGTACATTCAGAACACCAATTAGCGGACGCTTTCAAAAGGTACCAAACAACTTGGCTGAAAATTAAATACAGGATACAGCGGAATGTAAGAAAACACTGGGAGCCTTATGTGGCCAACAACAACAGAAAATGATGATGATGATGAACGCGTACGCCAGCTCGATGTTGACATCACCAATCGAATGTGGATGTGTCTTCAAAATATGGATCTACTACCGAAAGCTGGAGTCACCAGTGGAGTGATCGGGGTCTTGGACTTAAGATTGCCTAACCCATCCATCTGTAGTGGTACACGGGGTTGTTGAAGCAGAGTAGAATCTATGAGTACAGAGCCTTATCTAGATGACGATTTCAAATATTTCCCGCGATAAATACAATCCTAAATACACAGGATTGAAAGACAGCGAACGCGCCGACAAGCTGGCGAGCACAACACCACTCTGCACTGGAAGGAACTAGGAAAGAGCTGGTAGTATCAACGCTGTGAGAACTAGGATGGCAGATAGATGCACCTGTAATGCTAACACAATTGCTGGCCTGTGAGTCCAGCTTCGTGGCCAAGATAGGAGAGAGTATAACCAACTTTTGATGACAAAAATCAGTAGAGATACCTTTGAGTGATGGTTGCATCGAAGCACTGAGCACGCATGACAGTGCCTAATGTGCAGTGATCTCGATTTGAATAACATTTTCAAAGCCGCCTAAACCTGGTCGCTTAGACCCCAAGAAGGACCCCCACTACCAAAATATGTTTTTTTAATGCCTGGAACACAACCTTCTTGGTTCACCAGCCCCTTCCCCGTCCCCCCACCCCCACAAAAAACCCTTTGAAAACCGAGTTAAAGTGTCTTTTTTCTTTCTTTTCTAACCAAATTTGTTGAAACATTTCATATTATTTCAAGAATATCATTAAAATTTTAACAATATAACACACTATTATGCTCTTAAACTACGATTATGCCGATTGGGCACCCATAAAAAACGTGTAAGGCTTAGTTGGGCTCTTTCGCAATGTTTTTTTTTTTTTTTGTGTCAACGCCCTTAAAAAAATAATATACCCCCCAGTAAAGCATCAGACGAAAGAAAAAAAGCGTTAAAAGAAACAAAAAATTACGAAACAGAAATTTCACATTAGTTGACTACTTCTGCCATTTGAAGTATTACGGAACCCAGAGGTTATCAAAACTTCACATAACGAACATGGGATCTCTCGCTCTTGACTGTGACAACAGAACCCTCCAAGGGGATTCTTGGGCTCGCCTCTGAACTCAGTCAATGATGACTTGGTCGTTATTTTACATTTGATACCCCTCTTGACAATTTTCAATTGTAGCCTTGCTATGGCCCATTCTTAGTAATTCATGTTCGTCTTCTTTGGCACGCTGTGTCTTCTGCTTGGTGATTAGATCGAACAGCTACGGCAAGTTATCGGAGACATTGGGAGGGGGAAACAACTGTAACAATGCCAAATGTCACACATTAGGGAACGAGAGTTGACTGTGGAAGGTTACCCTGACACTGGCATGTTTATGTTGAATAAAACTTCGGCCTGCACACAACATAGCAAATTGTTAACAAGTCTCGACAGAGCTGGGGATTAGTTCATCCAGGAAGGACTTTTTATCTCGCAGTGCACAACAATTGCCAGTACCGGAACCGATTTTTTGGGAGACCTTTTTTCCCTGCACAACCTTAGGGAAAACTGGCAACTTTTTTTTTTAAGGGAAAATATTTTATGGACCTATTGTATTGAGAAGGGGGGAGAGAGGGGAAGCGAGAGAAAAAGAAGAAGAAGAAGAAGAAAGAAAAAAAAGAAAAGAAAAGAAGAAGAAGAAGAAGGAGAGAAGAAGAAGAATAAGAAAGAAGAAGAAGAAAAAGAAGAAGAAGAAGAAGAAGAAGAAAGAAGAAGAAGAAGAAGAAGAAGAAGAAGAAGAAAAAGAAGAAGAAGAAGAAGAAGAAGAAGAAAAGAAGAAGGAGACGAAGAAAGAAAAAAGATAATAATAATAATAAGAGAAGAGAAAAAGAAAATAATAATAATAATAGATAAGAAGAAGAAGAAGAAGAAGAAGAAGAAGAAGAAGAAGAAGAAGAAGAAGAAGAAGAAGAAGAAAGAAGAGAAGAAGAAGAAGAAGAAGAAGAAGAAGAAGAAGAAGAAGAAGAAGAAGAAGAAGAAGAAGAAAAAAATATATAATAATAATAATAATAATAATAATAATAATAATAATAATAATAATAATAAGAAGAAGAAGAAGAAGAAGAGAAGAAGAAGAAGAAGAAGAAGAAGAAGAAGAAGAAGAAGAAGAAGAAGAAGAAAAAGAAGAAAAAGAAGAAGAAGAAAAAGAAGAATAAGAAGAAGAAGAAAAAGAAGAAAGAAGAAGAAGAAGAAGAAGAAGAAGAAGAAGAAGAAGAAGAAGAAGAAAAAGAAGAAGTAGAAGAAGAAAAGAAAAAAATGAGAAAAAACAACCGGTACTGGGGTACTGACAGCTGCAGATATTACAAGACAACTAATTAGTCTTTTAAAAAAATGAAATAGAAATAGTCACTGCCCGTATTCACAAAAGCAGTACTCCTGACAAATTCACCCTGCAATACAATGGTGTTAACAGTTCTCGCCGTGAAACTGGATATACTGGGACAGATGATTCTAAAAATTCGTGCTGTGATTTAGTAGATGCAGCATTTTCTTTCTGACTTAGAAAAAAATGGAGTTGGGCGACAGGACGACCCAGGTAAAGTCCCGGGAAGTAAAGGCGGACGGTGTGATTTTGACCACATCACCCACTGAGTGCCGATTGGTCTATAAAATACAGGACTAGCCCTATATGCCCAATACGCATGTGAAGGCTTGGGAAAGGGTCCTAAACTGTTATCATAATCAATTTCAATACAGAAAATATGATCACATATAAACTCCTTTGCTCAATTAAAGTTTCACAATCGCAAGGCAACTGTAACGATGTGGAAATGCTGAGGTTTTCATGGAGAAAAAAAAAAAACGACTGTTGGCATTCATCATCATCATAAACCACTTCTGTTGTTAAGCGTTGTGGGGAGGAATAATTTGCGATCCAGTGTACGTTGGCTGCCACTGACTATTGTCATGCCGTGAAGGCGTAGAGTGTCTTTAATCTCGTCGATCCATGTTTTCCTCGGCCGTCCTTTTGCTCTTGTATCTGATCTTCTGAGATGTAGTGCTTGTGATGGTATTTGATCTTGCTGCATTCTAACAAGATGGCCAAACCACTTGATCTGCTGTTTCTCGATGAATCTAGTACAAGGTGTCGTTCCCACAATTTGCCTGATAGTTTCATTTATTCACTCGATCTCGGATGGTTAGGTTGACTGATTACTCAGGCACCTCAACTCGCAGGTGGTGATTTTACGTATATGGGCTTCAGATAGTGTCCATGTTTGGCACTGGTAGCTTAATGTTGGAATGATTATGCTATTAATAATCTGTCTCTTTTCACTCATAGTTATGCTTGGATATCTTAATAATGGTGACAATTGGTATATAAGTGCACTTACTTTCTGACATCTGGTTTCTATTTCTCTGTCAATTCTACCATCTTATGTGATCATACTTCCTAGATTTTTTAAACTCCCTAACTTGATTCAGAGCAGAACAATTCAGCTGTATGTTGTTGGCATTGCTTTTTAGTTATTGTGGTGCTGTCAATCGGCCGAGTCACTCCTGACGCCAGTTCTCACAAGCAAGCGTCATTTATCTCTGTCATTTATAGTTTTCTTTCATTAATTAATGACATGAACTGACCACATTAGCGATCTATCTCTTCTCTGTCTTCCAACAGAGCTCCTAGACATGGCGACGCCTGAGTCTCACCTTTCGACCAGCGTTTAAAACGTATGGTTTTCCCTCCATGAATATGTATATATCAGATTTTTCTGTTTCTGTCGACAAAGAATTTCAAGAGAGAGAGAGAGAGAGAGAGAGAGAGAGAGAGAGAGAGAGAGAGAGAGAGAGAGAGAGAAATCACTCGCACGCGATTCCGTTATATATTATTTTTGATTATAAAGAATTGCAGCCGTCTTCACAGAAAAGGTATGCTGAAGTCAGTTTTCAGCATTCGATGAATTTTGCCATGCTAATTGTGACAAACGTCCACTCTAACGTCCAGTGAAAGTGGTATCAGTCTCTTCTTTGTTCCCCTGCTCAGTATTTCTAGCTAGCGAGTAGCCGCTGGTCTGTGTCCACAATTAAATAACTAATCGTGACGTATTCAATTAATTTCTCATTCTGATATCTGCACCGCCTCCACAAAGGAAGTCTCTGGAAATATAACGTCGTGAGGCTCACAATCTCTTTACCGTAGGCCTCTCGTACCACTGTGCGAAATCCACGAGAACGGTCCTTATATGGACCTCAGGCAGTGGCAATCGAAACCAGTTAGCTTTGTAAATCATCATCATGTGTCATAAGGATACAGAATAGGTGGTTATACTTCGACATTTGACACCAAGAGTACAGTTTTTATTGGGTTTCTTTTTTTCCACCACATTCACCATTAGTAATTTGACTGACCCTTTTTCCATTAAAAAAATTTTGTTGTAATGTTTGCTGGCAAAATGGCGAACAAAGCTGCATTGTCACGTTGGAAACATGTAATTCTTGGTAAGTTTTAGTTTTCATTAATATAGTTTTTATGATTATTATTATATTTATTATTATTATTATTTCACGGACAACAATAACATTAGAATCTACTCGGCAGCCACCGCGAGTTATGAGGCCCCAAATCTTGAGGCTGAAAGACCTCTCCTACCTGTCACAGAAAAGGGATCAATAAAAGCAGAAAGGACCTTTTAATAGCCGGTTTCTCGACGTTTGATGAATAGATACGCCATCGAGTTTCTCTGCTCTTCATGGACGTTCTTTCAGTGTTTTCCGCCATCTTGCAGTGTTTTCCCCCTATCATTAAGTGTTTTCCCCCTATCATTCTTTTCTTTCCCTCCCCCTATCATTCAGTGTTTTCCCCCATCATTCAGTTTTTCTCAACTTCTCTGCCTATTGCTCATATTTAATAGAGAGGGCACCTGTGTATACTGGATGGGAAAAAGTACCACGTTTGATTCTGCGGTTACCTCTTAGAAGGGGGAAGGGGGGGGGGGGGGATTGAATCGCTGTACCCCTAAAGAACATGTCGTAAAAGGCCATTTATGAAGGGTGTGTTGATTTGTTGGACTTGAAGGCAAAAGTATCGCATCCTAGTCTTCTAGTGTATTTCTAACCCTCAATTGAGCATAGCTCCTCCAAAAACTCACGCCGAGTGATTCTGTTCTCCGCAGCTCTCCCGATGTCCTCCCTATCTTTTTAACTCTACTCTCTAGCTCCCTTCTCTGTGTGTTTTTATTCTTCCTTTATCTCTATTACCCTGTGGGTGCCAGTGCGAAGACGTTCTAGTTATTTTGTTCTTATGTTTTTTCAGTGTGCATTCTATCTAACGCCAGCGTCTTTTCTTCACCTTTTAAAAACTGAAACTTGCTTAGTTCTCTACCAAAGCTCTACATTAGTGATTGTATTATACCATTTAATTCATTCCCTCTATTCTGCTCAGGCACCAGTTAATGATTGTTTGTAGTTTATAAGTATCTGCATTTGTTCTGTATGTTTCCGCTCCATACAAAAGTACCGATTTGACATTAGAATTAAACATTTTACGTTTAGTATTAGTTATAATTTCTAGCTGTCTAGCTTGACAAGGTGTCAAAGACAATTTTACGGACAAACACAAAAGATTAAAACGAATTTAATGAAAATGTAATTGTCAGATTGAAAGTATTAAGCCCTACTTTCCTGTTTATTAATTTGTTTCCGTAGCCAGAATGCAGGTCGGATAATTTCTCCTTGCCTGCCATGGCCCTGCGGTGAGATCTAACTGTTGAGCATGTAGATAGCTGACTTGTCAAGTAATTACATGGCTGGAAGCTAAACAGAGAATCAAACAAGGATCTGGAGTTAACAATAACACACACCTGCAGACACTAATTGCCTAACATCGATCATGTGCCAGCGATGAGAAGGAGTTATTGAGACACCAGCGGAAATCTGCACAATCTTCTCATGTACATAAAACTCTGAAGCAGCAAGCAACAACAACAACAAGAAAAAGAAGTTGATCCGGGAAAAGAAAATATTATGGGAGAATATGAACGATGCATAGACTAGCGTGCCTGTATGAAGATGCGATTTCCGTTCATTGTGTTGACAGTTAGCTGATTAGTGAAGTCTTATGTATAAGCTGCCAAGTTGTGGCTCTATAAAAAAATGCAGAGAAGGCTCTCGACGCATAACAGAGTTATGAAGATGTCTTCAAGGAAATTGACCTACGACATCAGAGGGAATCAATCTTCAAGATTCATTTTCTTTGGTAACTTTGTGAGATGGAGGATACTGGAGTACTCCAATGTCCTCAATGACAGCAGACATTTTCTAGGGAAAGAGAAACAGAAGGAAAGCAAGACTGAAGCAGGATTGTTTGGTAGAAGCAGAAGCAGCAGCAAGTGCAGAAGAAGAAGAAGAAGAAGAAGAAGAAGAAGAAGAAGAAGAAGAAGAAGAAGAAGAAGAAGAAGAAGAAGAAGAAGAAGAAGAAGAAGAAGAAGAAGAAGAAGAAGAAGAAGAAGAAGAAGAAGAAGAAGAAGAAGAAGAAGAAGAAGAAGAAGAAGAAGAAGAAGAAGAAGAGAAGAAGAAGAAGAAGAAGAAGAAGAAGAAGAAGAAGAAGAAGAAGAAGAAGAAGAAGAAGAAGAAGAAGAAGAAGAAGAAGAAGAAGAAGAAGAAGAAGAAGAAGAAGAAGAAGAAGAAGAAGAAGAAGAAGAAGAAGAAGAAGAAGAAGAAGAAGAAGAAAGAAGAAGAAGAAGAAGAAGAAGAAGAAGAAGAAGAAGAAGAAGAAGAAGAAGAAGAAGAAAAGAAGAAGAAGAAGAAGAAGAAGAAGAAGAAGAAGAAGAAGAAGAAGAAGAAGAAGAAGAAGAAGAAGAAGAAAAAGAAAAGAAGAAGAAGAAGAAGAAGAAGAAGAAGAAGAAAAAGAAGGAGGAGGAGGAGGAGGAGTGGGTAGAGGGGAAAAGGGGTAAGAACAAGAAGAAAAGCACAACAGTGATGAAAAACCTTTTATCTGCAAATATTGCTTCGACTTCTACTGCACTAACGTCACTTTACATGATCCGATCTTTTCCATCACACTGCAAGAAAATATTTAATTAATTCAACAACCGACAAGTGCTTGTTTTTTTAAACTACATTATCTGTTTGATATAATTAGTCTTATGAAATACTCCTGGATAAATGTATTGGTTTCTGACGTATTTAAACAAGAGTTAGCATCAAAAACACCAAGTATCGTCTTTTTTCTGGCAAGTAAAGAATGATACAAAACAAATAAAGAGAGATTGGATGGCTATTTAAGCTTGCGAATTGAATATAAATAATAGCTGCAATTAATCCACTCAACAACAGAAGGAAAAGGTGCATTTCGTGAAAGTTTTTTGGATCAATTTAATATCCTCATATTAATTTGCTTGAGAAAATTGCAGCTGTAAAGCCAAGAGCAATTTATTTGCTTGTTTTCGTGTTTTCTGGTTGTGTTTTTTCATTTGCCCTGAGCGGTAAACGCTTTCTTTCGGGTGTTGTGGGTGTGCGGTGGGGGGAGAGGGGAGGATTACTATTGGCTTTGAGGCATATGTCTGTATCGGGTGGGTGGGTTAATGCTAGATCTGTGGTATAAGTTAGAGGTGTGGGTAATGCTAGATCTGTGGTGTAAGTTAGAGATGTGGGTAATGCTAGATCTGTGGTATAAGTTAGAGGTGTGGGTAATGCTAGATCTGTGGTATAAGTTAGAGGTGTGGGTAATGCTAGATCTGTGGTATAAGTTAGATGAGTGGGTAATGCTAGATCTATGGCATAAGTTAGAGGTGTGGGTAATGTTAGATCTATGGTATAAGTTAGATGTGTGGGTAATGCTAGATCTATGGCATAAGTTAGAGGTGTGGGTAATGCTAGATCTGTGGTGTAAGTTAGAGATGTGGGTAATGCTAAATCTATGGCATAAGTTAGAGGTGTGGGTAATGCTAGATCTATGGTATAAGTTAGAGGTGTGGGTAATGCTAGATCTATGGTATAAGTTAGAGGTGTGGGTAATGCTAGATCTGTGGTGTAAGTTAGAGGTGTGGGTAATGCTAGATATTTGGTATAAGTGAGAGGTGTGGGTAATTCTAGATCGATGGTGTAAGTTAAAGGTGTGGGTATCGGCAGATCTATGGTATAAGTTAGAGATGTGGGTAATGCTAGATCTGTGGTGTAAGTTAGAGGTGTGGGTAATGCTAGATCTGTGGTATAAGTTAGAGGTGTGGGTAATGCTAGATCTGTGGTATAAGTTAGAGGTGTGGGTAATGCTAGATCTATGGTATAAGTTAGAGGTGTGGGTAATGCTAGATCTATGGTATAAGTTAGAGGTGTGGGTAATGCTAGATCTATGGTATAAGTTAGAGGTGTGGGTAATGCTAGATCTGTGGTATAAGTTAGAGGTGTGGGTAATGCTAGATCTGTGGTATAAGTTAGAGGTGTGGGTAATGCTAGATCTGTGGTATAAGTTAGAGGTGTGGGTAATGCTAGATCTATGGTATAAGTTAGAGGTGTGGGTAATGCTAGATCTATGGTATAAGTTAGAGGTGTGGGTAATGCTAGATCTATGGTATAATGCTAGATCTATGGTATAAGTTAGAGGTGTGGGTAATGCTAGATCTGTTAGGTATAAGTTAGATAAGTTGGTGTAATGCTAGATCTGTGGTGTAGTTAGAGTTTGAACTGTGGGTAAAGTTAGATAGATGTGTAGTTAGAATGCTAGATCTGTGGTGTAAGTTAGATGTGTGGGGAAGGTTAGATGTGTGGGGAAGGTTAGATGTGTGGGAATGCTAGATCTGTGGTGTAAGTTAGATGTGTGGGTAATGCTAGATCTGTGGGTAGTTGAGTCCTAGTGGGTGCTAGATCTGTGGGTAATGCTTGGGTATGCTAGCATCTGTGGTCCATGCTAAGTTAGAGTTGTGGGTAATGCCAGATCTATGGTATAAGTTAGAGTTGACTGACCTGACCAGTAAGAGTTGACTGGCCTACCCTCTCTGTGTCTCCATGCTCACACGTGACCAGTAAGAGTTGACTGACCTACCCTCTCTGTGTCTCCATGCTCACACGTGACCAGTAAGAGTTGACTGACCTACCTTCTCTGTGTCTCCATGCTCACACTTGACCTGTAAGAGTTGACTGGCCTACCTTCTCTTTGTCTTCATGCTCACACATGACCTGTAAGAGTTGACTGGCCTACCTTGTCTGTGTCTCCATGCTCACACTTGACCAGTAAGAGTTGACTGGCCTACCTTCTCTGTGTCTCCATGCTCACACTTGACCAGTAAGAGTTGACTGGCCTACCTTATCTGTGTCTCTATGCTCACACTTGACCAGTAAGAGTTGACTGGCCTACCTTCTCTGTGTCTCCATGCTCACACTTGACCTGTAAGAGTTGACTGACCTACCTTATCTGTGTCTCTATGCTCACACTTGACCAGTAAGAGTTGACTGGCCTACCTTCTCTGTGTCTCCATGCTCACACTTGACCAGTAAGAGTTGACTGACCTACCTTCTCTGTGTCTCCATGCTCACACGTGACCAGTAAGAGTTGACTGGTCTACCTTCTCTGTGTCTCCATGCTCAAACTTGACCTGTAAGAGTTGACTGGCCTACCTTCTGTGTCTCCATGCTCACACTTGACCAGTAAGAGTTGACTGACCTACCTTCTCTGTGTCTCCATGCTCACACGTGACCAGTAAGAGTTGACTGGTCTACCTTCTCTGTGTCTCCATGCTCAAACTTGACCTGTAAGAGTTGACTGGCCTACCTTCTGTGTCTCCATGCTCACACTTGACCAGTAAGAGTTGACTAACCTACCATCTCTGTGTCTCCATGCTCACACTTGACCACTAAGAGTTGACTGACCTACCTATTGTGTCTCCATGCTCACACTTGACCAGTAAGAGTTGACTGACCTACCTTCTGTGTCTCCATGCTCACACTTGACCAGTAAGAGTTGACTGACCTACCTTCTCTGTGTCTCCATGCTCACACTTGACCAGTAAGAGTTGACTGGCCTACCTTGTCTGTGTCTCCGTGCTCACACTTGACCAGTAAGAGTTGACTGGCCTACCTTCTCTGTGTCTCCATGCTCACACTTGACCAGTAAGAGTTGACTGGCCTACCTTGTCTGTGTCTCCATGCTCACACGTGACCAGTAAGAGTTGACTGACCTACCTTCTCTGTGTCTCCATGCTCATACGTGACCTGTAAGAGTTGACTGGCCTACCTTGTCTGTGTCTCCATGCTCACACGTGACCTGTAAGAGTTAACTGACCTACCTTCTCTGTGTCTCCATGCTCACACTTGACCAGTAAGAGTTGACTGACCTACCTTCTCTTTGTCTCCATGCTCACACTTGACCAGTAAGAGTTGACTGGCCTACCTTCTCTTTGTCTCCATGCTCACACTTGACCAGTAAGAGTTGATTGTCATATTTTCTTTCGTTGCCCGCAACCGGTTTCTGCTTTCGTGTCCTCATCTTTCATCCACTTTCGTCTCTGATTTCGTCTCAATGCCTCTGCACGCCCAACATTTAGTATGTCTGCACTTCCCATTTGTCTCCCTCCACCACTCACTGTGGACACAGCCAGCCTCTCGGGTCTTTCGTTTTGTTTCATCCTGTTGCAACCCGCTGTGTACAGGCAAGACAGTTTCTTGGTTTGGGCTTCTGGAAGCTGTCATCCTGTTCAAGTCGGATTTGGGATCTTCTTAAACATGCACAGTCACCTGTGATGTTAATGCGTGTGTAGCTTTCCTCTCCACCAGCCATGCAAGTGTTCCTGTAACATGTGGTATCTCCATCATCATGCTATAAATTATTAAACTGATTATAGATGAGATTTATGTGCTAGTTAGTTATGTGAGAAAGGTCAGATTTAGGAAGACAATCTTAAATATAGTATAGTCTATCCATTGATAACTCAGCTTATCAATCAGTTTGCCCTTTACAGAACGTCACTTGTATGATCTCAAAATGTGTACTTCAACTTGCTCACAGGCGCTCTGTCAAAGGTTAGTGAAGTCTTTACCTTGTTGTTGTTTTATGTGAACAAAATAACGTCTTCCATGTCAGTCAGTACATGTGTGGTTTCTTTTTATTGTGTTCCTACGATGAAAACTGTTCAAGTCAGATCTCGTCTTTGCAATATATGTGGACGGTAGCAGCTGTCTGTCACTGTCTGTCTCTGTGTGTCACTAGTTGTCTCTGTCTGTCACTGTCTGTCTCTGTGTGTCACTAGTTGTCTCTGTCTGTCACTGTCTGTCTCTGTGTGTCACTAGTTGTCTCTGTCTGTCACTGTCTGTCTCTGTCTGTCTCTGTCTGTCTCTGTGTGTCACTAGTTGTCTCTGTCTGTCACTGTCTGTCTCTGTCTGTCTCTGTCTGTCTCTGTACTGTCTGTCTGTCTCTGTCTCTGTCTGTCTGTCTTTCTCTCTGTCTGTCCTGTTACTGTCTGTCACTGTCTGTCCTCTGTCTGTCTGTCTGTCTGTCTGTCTGTCTGTCTGTCTGTCTGTCTCTGTCTGTCAGTCTGTCTGTCTGTCCACTGTCTGTCTGTTCTGTCTATTTCTGTCTGTCTGTCTGTCTGTCTCTGTCTGTCTGTCTGTCCTCTCTGTCACTGTCTGTCTCTGTCCCTGTCTGTCTGTCTGTCTCTGTCTGTCACTGTCTGTCTGTCTGTCTGTCTGTCTCTGTCTGTCCCTGTCTGTCTGTCTGTCTGTCTGTCCCTGTCTGTCTCTGTCTGTCTGTCTGTCTCTGTCTGTCTCTGTCTGTCTCTGTCTGTCCTGTCTGTCCTGTCTGTCTCTGTCTGTCTCTGTCTGTCTCTGTCTGTCTCTGTCTGCCTGTCTCTGTCTGTCTCTGTCTGTCTCTGTCTGTCTCTGTCTGTCTCCCTGTCTGTCTCTGTCTGTCTGTCTGTCTGTCTGTTACTGTCTGTCACTGTCTGTCTCTGTCTGTCACTGTCTGTCGCTTTCTGTCTGTCTGTTACTGTCTATCTCTGTCTGTCTGTCTGTCTGTCTGTCTGTCTGTCTGTCTCTGTCTGTCTCTGTCTGTCTGTCTGTCTGTCTCTGTCTGTCTCTGTCTGTCTCTGTGTCTCTGTCTGTCACTGTCTGTCTCTGTCTCTGTCTGTCTGTCTGTCACTGTCTGTCTGTCTGTCTCTGTCTGTCACTGTCTGTCTCTGTCTGTCTCTGTCTGTCTCTGTCTGTCTCTGTCTGTCTCTGTCTGTCACTGTCTGTCTCTGTCTGTCTCTGTCTGTCTCTGTCTCTCTGTCTGTCTGTCTGTCTCTGTCTGCCTCTGTCTGTCACTGTCTGTCTCTGTCTGTCCTCCTCTGTCTGTCTCTGTCTGTCTCTGTCTGTCACTGTCTGTCTCTGTCTGTCTGTTTCTCTGTCTGTCTCTGTCTGTCCCTGTCTGTCTCTGTCTGTCTCTGTCTGTCTCTGTCTGTCTCTGTCTGTCTCTGTCTGTCTCTGTCTGTCTCTGTCTGTCACTGTCTGTCCCTGTCTGTCTCTGTCTGTCTCTGTCTGTCTCTGTCTGTCTCTGTCTGTCACTGTCTGTCTCTGTCTGTCTCTGTCTGTTTCTGTCTGTCTCTGTCTGTCACTGTCTGTCCCTGTCTGTTCATGTCTGCCTCTGTCTGCCTCTGTCTGTCTCTGTCTGTCTCTGTCTGTCTCTGTCTGTCCCTGTCTATCTCTGTCTCTATCTGCAACTGACTGTCTGTTCTCTCTATGTGTCGATGAGTGTGTGTCTGCTCGTTTCCATCTTCACCTTGTCACTTTATGTCTCTGTCTGTCCCTGTCTATCTCTGTCTATGTCTGTCTCTTGTCTCTACGTGTCGATGAGTGTGTGAGTGCTCGTGTCCATCTTCACCTTGTCACTTTATGTCTCTGTCTGTCCCTGTCTATCTCTGTCTATGTCTGTCTCTTGTCTCTACGTGTCGATGAGTGTGTGAGTGCTCGTGTCCATCTTCACCTTGTAACCTTGTCACTGTCTGTCTCTGTCTGTCTCTGTCTGTCTCTGTCTGTCTGAACCGCCGTGGTGTAGCGGCTAGACGCTCGCCTGTGGATCGAAAGGTCGTGGTTTCGTGTCCTGACGAAG